CCATCGTCCATCGGTTGTTCTCGCTAAGTGTCCGGCCCATCTCCATTTTAATCTGCATAATACCTCAGCGGCATCTATGACTTTAGTTATTTTTCTTATGTCGGTGTTTCGTTTTCGATCGCTTAGCTTAAAACCTAGTAGGCTTCTTTCTGTCGCAGACTGGAATACTCTAATTTTATGTATTATTTCTTTTATAAGCGCCCAGCTTTAGTAGCAGCAGCTCAAAGTAGGTAAAACTACAGTATCCATTGCTTTTTTCTTTAGTTTGACAGGAAGTTTCGATTTAAATACTTCTTTGAGCGACCAATACTTAGCCCAAGCTTTCTTTATGCGACTTTCAACTTCTTTTATCGTCTGATCATTGAAGCTTATAATTTGTCCCAAGTATGTATATTTATCAACATACTGTACATCTCTTGATTGTATAACTAAAGGGATTTTCTCTCTATTGGTCATAACGCAGGTCCTATTAGGATTCATATATAATCCGCACTTTTGACTCCCCATGTTCAACGTCTTCAGTAGGTACTCCAAGTCTTCATATCCTTCCGCCATCAGAACAATATCGTCGGCGAATCGTAGATAGTTAATATATTCGCCGTTTATGTTAATGCCTATTTTTTCCCAGTTTAGTTTTCTGAATATATGCTCCAAGAGTACAGTGAACAAGTTAGAAGAGATTGGATCACCTTGTCGTACTCCTCTTCTCATTCGAAATGGTTTTCCTTCTCGTTCCAGTTTCACAACTGCACAACTATTTGTATATATTTATCTGAGAACTTCAAGATATGTTTCATTTATCCCCTGTTCTTTCAGTGCATTTCATAAAGGGTCATGTAATATTGTGTCGAACGCTTTAGAGTAATCGACGAAAGCGATGTATAACGTTTTATTGTATTCTTCATATTTTTCAATGATCTGTGTTAGGGTAAATATGTGATCAACGCTAGAGTACCTTTGACGAAAGCCTGCTTGTTCTCGGGGCTGATTGAATTCTAGTTGTTTAATGATTCTTTTTAGTAGGACAGCAGTAAATACCTTGTAAATTGTTTGTTGTAGGTTAATCGGTCTATAGTTTGAAATATCATGTGGATCGCCTTTCTTGTAGAGAAGAGAAATTATAGATGTGTTCCATTCTTTGGGTATGATTCGGTTATGCAATATTTCCTTAAATAATTTTGTAATAAGAGGAGTCAAAGGTTCTTTGATAGCTCGTAGAACTTCATTTGTAATACCGTCCTCTCCTGGGCTTTTGTTGGACTTCAAATGATTTATCACCGAGGCAATCTCGCTTTTCAAAAAAGGTGGAAAATCTTCAATATTACAATTTTGCTCTTCAATACAGTCGTTATAATCTGTGAATTTGTCATCATATAGCTGTCTGTCGCTATAGAGATTACTTCACTTCTGTTTGATGTTTTCTGTGAGTTGTTATTTTTAAGCGACATAGTCCATTTCTTATCATTATTCAGTTTTTTCTTGGCTCTCTTAAACGAAGCTCTTTTCTCAATCTCTTCCTCTATTACACTGTATCTGTACATTTTTCTGTCGTGTCTTAGTTGTTTTTTTACTAGTTTATATAGCGCGCTTAATTTATTTTTCTCGGATCTTGATCTATTTGATTTATTCTTTAGTCTATTCCTCTCGCCTATTAGTCGTATTATATATTCGTTTATTGGTGTCTGCTTTTTCATGTCTTTCAGTGGAAGTTTTTCTACAGATTGCTTTATGCAAGAGCTGTCTTTCGTAAGATATTTGTGTATCGCTCGTTATTTGTAATGCTTTCGATAGATCTTTAAAAGCTTTATTTATAAATTCTTGCTCTATTTGATCTAAGTCTCATGCTTTACGTCTTGTGCCGAATTTTTTCCGTGATATTTTGTTATATTGTCCAATATATAGCTTTGCTCTCACCAACCTGTGATCACTCGGAAAAGTTGTGTTGATAATTTGTATGTTTCGTATGGTGTTCTTATCTCTTGCCAAAACGAAATCAATCTCGTTCTTATTTTTGCCATCGGGGTAGAGCCAGGTCCACCTACGTTTAAATTTTTTCTTAAAATAAGTGTTCATTATGTGTAACTTTTGTTCGAAACAAAAATTGATAAGAAGAGCTCCGTGTTCGGTTCTTTCACCATATCCCCATGGTCCCATTATGGTTTTATCATCATAGGTGAGCTGGCCAATCTTTGCATTTAAGTCTCCCATTATTAGTGTAAGTTTACCAGTGATCTCCATTGCTTTTCTTTTTTCTTAGGCTTCAATTTCATCGTCTATGCTTTTCTCCGTTGGAGCATAACATTGAATTAGATGCAAATGTAGATTGTTAAATTGTAGATCCAACCGTATAACTCTATCCGAAATGGCGTAAATGTTGATAATATTTAGTTTCCATTTTTTATTTATTAAAAAACCAACGCCATTTCTTCCAGGTTTTTCTCCAAAATAAATAAAAATGTACTTTTCATGCTCTATTATTTCTTTTCCCGCTTTCTTAATTTCGGATAAACCGATCACGTCTCATTTTAGGTTATCGAGCATATATTCTAGCTCCAAATATCTAGTTTTATTCACTAAAGATCTCACGTTGAAAGTACAGATATTAAATAAGGTAAGATTTTCCTTTTTGTCCTTAATTTTTTGGTTTTCAGGAACAGGAGGGTTTTGGTCATCTTCCCCCACGGTGACCAACCGGCTTGGGGTGCATTTTTTTTTTTGGTTTGTATGAAGTTATGATATTTGCTCTAATTTGGTTCCGGGTGCCGGTGGTCTTTACAATTTTTTTCTGATCTCAGAGAGTGAAGCAGATCTGCCTCGTTCAATGTAGTTTAGTATGTTGGGTTTTAAGATTTCTCTTCCCTTCATTGATGTAGTAGATGGATTGTCCTTTACGTCTATTTTTTTTTGTGATGAAGAGTTCGGTGAGGCCAGACCGTCTCTTTTTCTTTTGTCTCTGTTTAATCCTTGTGGTTTCTTAACTATTATCTTATCATGCCTTAAAAAGGCTATGTTTCCTTTTTTTTCTTTCTTCTTCCACTTGTACTTGTAAATTCTTCCGTTTTTCTAGCACTTCTTTGGTGTAGTCTTCTTTCACATAAATACCTTGAGGGAGCTTTGACTTATTTTTCAGAATCAGGTGTTTTTTCCAAAGGGACGTGATGGAGACTACGATAGGCCGGTTTTTAACAGTTTCCTTGTTGCCAATTCTATATAAGTTGCTAATTTCCTGGCTACTTAGGTGCGTCCCTGCTTCTAGAATCGTGTCCTTGAGGTAGTCTACCAGTTCCGCTTCTGTTTTGCCAATCTCCTCAAAGCCAAAAAGACCAGTTTGTATTTCTTTTTCTCTCTTTCCATGGCATTAAGTTTTTGCTCCAGTGTAGATATTTTGTCTTTGAGCATAGTATTTTCCTCTGTTAATAACTTTAGTCTCTCATCTAATGCCTCCATAACGTTTTTCGTCACCGACTCTGTTATTAGTTTACCAGTGATTCAATTTCTCATCCAGTCTTGATAGCAACAACTCCATACTTTTTTCCATTTTGTTTGGTTTGACTGTCCGTGTAGTGACGGATTAAGAATACGGAATTTCACTAACCCAATTCATCCCGTGGGTGTCGTAAGAGGCGACTAAGGGCGCAAAACAACGCAGGACATCAGCACTGCAAAAAGAAGGAAAACTTGATACAATCCCTATACCGACCCGTCTGGCCAGCGTGGTATAGTAGGCCAAAACGTCCTTTCTAAGGAGAGGCCTATGTCCAGCAGTGGACTGTTAAAGGCTGTTGATGTGATGATGTGATGTGATGTTTGGTTTGACAATGCTGGTAGGATTTAGATTGTTGTTGCTGGCAACATGTCAGTATGTCAGTCAAATGAAGTCAAATGACGTTGGTTGGTTGTCAAAGTGAAGTATGTTGATTATGTTGGCAGCACTACTATGACATGCAATAATTTTTACTTTTAGGTTAAGTTGTTGCCTTGCACCAGGGCCTTCCTTTCTAGGGTATACCTGGTTCCCCGGCTATTAGTACCCGGCGAAGGCGTGCGGTTTTAGTCGGTTCGAGTCCGACATGCCACCGACAGGTGGTATCCGAGGGGATTTCCGCACGGAAAAAAAAAAAAAAGGTTAAGTTGTTGCCTGATTATTTGTAGTTTTTTAGTTCACTAATGAATGTTTAGCACTTTGTTCACTTTCTTGTTTCGTTTTTTGTTGTCTAGTCTGATATTTTTCGTGTTGAGACACTGTTATTTTACACTTTTTACGTTTTAATGAATTATTATTTGGCTTTGACGTACGTGTTTACGTTTCGAACACCGGAACCAGAAATATGTACATATAACATATAAGACTTTAGGGATGTGATGAGTCTGCTAGAGTGTCGAGAATTCGAGCTCGGACTTTCGTCTTAAATGAGAGGCGACTGGATGCTATCCTGATTTCCAAAGGCAGAGCGTTCCAGAGGAGGACAGATTGGATTAAGAACGAAGAGTGGACACATGCGGAAGTATGAGTGGGGCATAACAGAAGTGGATTGTTTAATGAACGGAGAGTTCTGTTGTGATTGACACATAGAAAATGAAATGAGGATGTTAGGTAGGAAGGGGAAATAGGTGAGTTGAGTATGGAATAGAGGGATGTTATCCTTATCTTTTGGATGTATTTCCACCTGCCAATATTCAGATTTTAAGTCTAGGATCGAGAATCATTTCATTCCGCTCAAAGTAGCCGGCGTGTCGTCGATTCGCGGTAGCGGGTAACTGTCCTTCTTAGTGATGTCATTAAGTCATCTCTAGTCCACGCAGAACTGGGTGCTTCCATCCTTCTTCTTCACTAGAACGACAGGTGAGCACCATGGACTTGCAGATGGCTCAAAAATTCTGTTCCTTTTCATCTCTTCCAGGAATTCTTCTCGCTTAATCTCAATCTTGTGCTGTACTAGCGACGTTCTTCCAAGGTCTCCTTCATAATTAGTAGAGATATTTGCAAACCTCAGTAAAAGCTACTTAGCTTTAATGCTCTGCGAATAAGTTAGATTATTGCAGTCCTTAAGAAGTTCGGTGACTGCTGAGTCACTCCTGGTGCTTAATGTTTTTAAATATGGCGTCGAAGCACATTTTCTCCCCCAAACAACTTCTTCGCATTGTCCTATGACGTCACCTTTATTAAACGCAATTTCGCGGTGATCCAGGTTTACAACCCTTACCGCGGAAGAATTTCTTTTGACAAGAGTCCTTGCCGTCATGCAATTTTGAGCCACTGTCTTTAAAGGTGCGTCTTCGATCAACACACATCGGTTCGCCGCCTTTCTTATGTCAGATGGTAGCTTAATCAACACCTGAGTCTCAGACTCCTCAGGAATAGTACATTTTCTCACGCACATCACTTTGCCGGTACCACCACCACCTAATATGAAGATTTCTTGATCGCCACACTAAAGGACTCTATCAGAAATTTTGATTCTACAGTTGTGATTTTTCATGAAGTCTAAGCCCAGAATTCAGTCATCCTCAGTAATTTCAGCTACGGTTCTCGCCAACGAGCATCGTTACTGTTATTTCCCCCAAGACAGGTATTGCTCCAAGCTCCTTCCAGAATTGCAGAAGCCTCCTGGGGCGTTCACAGGCTTCTAGGAGCGACTTTATATCGGGAATGATACTTGCCCGTTGTGTGGCCACTCCCTCGCGTTCCAGGATTACGTGAACGGCCGTTTCTTCAGCTTCCAGACATCCCCTGCACAGGGGACTGTCCGTCGCATTGATGATGAATAGTTGTCGGTTCATGGCTAGACGTCCTGTAATAGTTCCGACAACCATTCTGATTCTGCTAAGACTGATCAATCTGCAGGTGAGTCGTGGTGTGACTTGATTCAGCACCAGTTTGGACTGTCTGCAGACGGGTGAGTTTTTCCACCTCCGGTTGTGTGCTTCACAGGTCCGTTGCCTGACCCAGCATCGTATTTGGTTAAACGATATGGGCAGGAGTGTGGTTGGGCCGGAGGTCGGGGTTGCCGAGCCCCTCCTTGCCAAGTCATCGGCGGCATCGTTCCCGGGCGAGTTACTGTGCCCTTTAATCCATTGGAGGAGTACCCCATTGAATATAGCGAGCTGTTCCAGTGCTTGGCATTCGAAGACAATAACAGAGGTCATTGTGTTGCCCTCTAATGCCTTTAAGACGGCCATGCTGTCGGATATTATTCGGATGTTGTAGTCCTTGATACCCCTTGACATGGCCGTTGTGGCAGCGTAAGTTATTGCCACACATTCGCATTGAAATATGGAACTGTGTGCCTAACGCTAGGGATATGTTTATATTTAGGTCTTGCGAGAAAACGCCGGCTCCAGTTCTTGACCTAGTCTTGGAACCGTCCGTGTAAATTCGGACTTCGTTAATGCCAGATTTATCTCGGTCATTTCCATGGATGTAGTATCTTCTAGTGAAGATATGGTGTTTTGGGATTCTATCGCATGGAGCTGTTAAGAATAGTAAGATCGTCTGCATAGCTTATTGTGAGGAATCTTTGGTCATTAAGCTCATCCACAACAATGTTCCATAGAAGGGGGGAGAGTACACCGCCCTGGGGGCAACCTCTAGCCACCACTCCTCTAGTCACTTCGCTCACAGTGAATTGAATAGCTCTATATCTTAGCATGCTGTCGATCCACCCTGAGATTGTGGAATCAACACCATGTCTAGACAGAGCTTGGCTAATGCTGGTGAAATTGGTCTTGTCAAAGGCTCCCTCGATATCGATAAAGGTGGCTAGTGTTGACCTTTTGTGATTTAGATTGTCTTCTATATGTGAAACAACTCGATGTAGGGCAGATTCTGTTGATTTACCCATCGAGTATGCGTGTTGATCGAGGTGTAGAGGGTGACTGACTAACCCAGTTTCCCTGATTTCCCTATCTATCTCGAGAACCTTTAATAGGAAAGACGTGAGACTGATAGGTCGCTGTGATTTGGGTTGTGTGTAGTCACCTTTACCAGGTTTGGGGATGAAGACTACTTTAACTTCTCTCCATTTCAAGGGGATGTACTGATGCGCCAGGCAGCCCCTATAAATTTTTACAAGATGGTCTAGTAGTGTCATATCACGCCATCTCAGTAGGCCTGGGAAGACACCATCTGGACGTGGCGCCTTGAATGGTAGGAAGCTGTTAATTGCCCATCTTAGTTTGTCATGGTTGACAACTTTGCGGGCCGTATCCCAATCTGTATCTTCTGGTGGTTTTTCCCATCTGTCTTCCCATTTTTCCATCACATCTGATATGCGACATCCAGGGAAGTGTGTTTTCAATAACAGCTCTGAGGCTGCCTATTCTGTTTTGGTATACTCACCATCAGCCTTCTTCACTGAGCCAAGATTGTGTTCGCCTCTATTACACAGTATGCTTTTGACTCTATTAGCCTGGTTGTTGTTCTTTATGTTAGTACAGAAGTTTCTCCAGCACTCAGTTTTCCTGGTTCTGATTCTCTTCTTATATTTTTGTCGGGCTTGCGTGTAGGCATCTCAATGTTGGTCTAATCGATAGTTTTTTGCTTTATTGAACAACTTTCTCACTTTACGACGTAGTCTTTCCAGTTCTGGACCCCACCATTGGTGTTTGTTCTGTGGTCCAGTCGTGGGTGTGGAAAGTGGGCATGTTTGTTCAAAGCAATCGATCAGTGTCTGTGTAAGGTTGATAACATGACTGTCAATCTCCTTAACTATCCCCGGAGCGTATGTTGAATTGATGCTTCGCAGTTTCTCCGCAGTAAGATGGTCATACCGTTTCCGGTCCATCGTGCGGGGATTCCGTCGGGGATCGGGTAGTTTAAGTTTCATTTCAAAGTTCAATTTGATCCAGCGATGGTCTGAGCACGATGCTTCGTTCGAAACATGCCAGTTCGATAAGTGTTGCGATGCGTGCTCACTCGAGTGGTTGTATCCAGTGTTCGCCTGTGAGATGATTGTCAACGAGACTGCCTCCGCGCCAGCCGGTACTCGCCACCTAGTCCTGGCTGTTACTCGTTTCCCTGATTTTCAGCGGACGTGGAGGTCTCGTCGCGCTTCTTTATCAACTTTCCTAGACGTTCCGCAACTTTCTTTAGCCTGGTCATCTGCGAACTCTTCAGCCGTCAATTAAGATGCAGATGATCCCTCTCGCCATACCATCGCCTTTACTTCTTTTACTTAATCTGAGACTTCACGAAGCTTGTGGGTCGGCCGAGTCTCTGATCCCGTCTACGAATGCCTGAACTGGGTGTTCGACTCTACCATTTTCATATCGGCTAAAAGACGCTTTCGGCACGAGTTTTTTTAATTTTCAACGCCTATTGCTGTAGTCCTTCTGCGGAGCGCTGGACTCTATCGTCCGCACCAGAACCTAGACAGATGACCCGTTCCTCAACTACTAGATCTTGACGATCTTTGCGTAGTTTATCTGCCGCTCAGACGGCGGTAAAAGCAGTTGTTGGTCATCCTTCATTTGTTTTTGTATAGCCACAAACTTACTGTCTAGTTGCTCTTGCTGATTTTGTATAACAGAAAACTTGCTGTTTAGCTGCTCTTGCCTATTTTGTATAATACATATCATCATCATCGACAGCCTTTAATAGTCCACTGCTGAACATAGGCCTCTCCTTAGAAAGGAGGTTTTAGCCCAACTATACCACGCTGGCCAAACGGGTTACTATAGGGTTTGTTTTAAGTTTTCCTTCTCTTAGCAGTGCTGTTGTACTGCGTAGTTTACTACCTTAGTCAGCTCTTACGACACCCACGGGATGAAGAGGGGTGGTGACACTCTGTATTCTTGATCCGTCACCACACAGATTGACACCAGACAGACCACAGATATATGCACAAGAGAGTATTAAATAAGATTACAAAACATTTAAACAAAAAATGTTTGTTACGCACTGTTTTCATGTTTTTACCTCAAAACTCTTTCATTTGTAAACCGAAATAGATGAATTACCCATATCGGTTTACAAATGATTTTTTATTTGGAAGCTTATATTTCCACTTTGGTTCCATTCAAATGTAAAGAAATAAATATATTTTTTGTTTTGTTCTAGTCGAAAATCGAAAGTCGAAATCGTGTTATACGTTTTTATTAGTTTTGTTAATGTACTTACTTACTTCGATTTTATGTTAGTTCTGATGCGATCTATATGTGTGCGTTTCTTGATTTCTAACTGTTGGCTCAAATGTTAGGGGCCAGCTGAAAAACAGTGCTGTGTTCTCGCACATCGTGAACTTAGCTGGTAGCTTTTATTACACATTGTGCCTAAATGTTATATAATATTAACTAGCTGGTACCCGCGACTTCGTTCGCGTGCAGTTTGAAAAGCGCTGCCTCATGGCCGACGGGTCCCGTACCCGGCGGTGGTGCGCCGCACACGGATAGATTTTTCAAGGGGGCGACAAAAACAGAAATCGAAACGAAAACGAAACTTTTTAGAATTTGCATCTCATCGTAGTAACATCTATTGATTGGTGTACAATGTTGTACACTTTTTTTCGTAGGTAGGTGTCAAAAAGTTCACACGCGTTTGCAAAAGCTCCTTAAAGATTTAAATTCTTTTATTACCATTTTGCCGCAAATCTAAGTGAATTATTGTGTATTTACTTAATATTTATAATAACCTTAGTGTTCATATGTGTTGATCCAAGTTTCTAAGCCACCTGCCAGCTTTTTTTGGCACAAATATAAATCACTACAAATAAAATTAAAACAATTCATCTGTCTCTGCTATTCCCATACAAAATGTCACAACTTGCTGATATACAATTGGCTCAAAGCAGTCTCGAAGAAAGCTTCTCCAGGAGAAAGGCACAGTTGGAGGCACAGCTACATTCCGGGGGGAACTCCAAGCATACTGTTGCCCGAGTTTCCGAAGAATTTAGGGCGTTCCGAGAGCTCGTGTTTAACATGTTATGCCTGCTACGGAAACAAATTAATGAGTGTGCCAAGATGGTGGATGTCATAGAGACTCGCCATCGTCGCAAGGCACTTATCTTCCTAGGAGTGCCCGAAGCTGTCCAGGAGGACTGTAGCAAGACAGTTATCAGTATCCTCAATCAGAGGATGGGCCTTAAGGACATCACTGCACCCTCATTCAAGCTCTGTCACCGAATGGGTACCACATCAAAGGAACGTCGCCGCCCGGTGCTCGTCAGATTCTCTTCAGCGGAGGTTCGAACTGCTGTCTGGCTGGCGAAGACGACGTTGAAGGGAACCGGCTTTTCGGTGCGAGAATTTTTGACCAGAACCCGACAGACGACTTTCATCATGGCTAGACAACATTTTGGTATGTCAGCCTGCTGAACTCAGAATGGCGCCATTGTTCTCAAACCAGCCGATAATAGACGTCATAAGATTACTTCACCGGATGAGC